CGGCGCTCGCGAGAGCGGCTCCGCCTCGAGCTCCGCGAGCTGTCACCGATATGCTCATCGTCAGAGTCATCGTTCTCGTCGTAGATGCGATCCATCTCGGACTCAAAGTCCTCTTTACCATCCAGATCTGCCTGCCGCTCCTCCTCCAGGATCTCGTCCACGTCAAGTCCCAGATGCTCTCTCATAAGCCGCAGCCGCAGGGTGTGCGCGAATCGGCCGACGCGGTAGGGCTTACCCCCCATCGTGGACCAGAGCATGTCCGTGTCGCGGACGATGGCGGCGCACTCCGAGTCACGGTTGCCGAGCATGGAGCGCTCGTTGATATTGGCGGACCCAATGAGAGCCACGCGGTCATCGACAACAATAACTTTTGCGTGAATGTACAGCTGTTCAGTCGTGAGTAGGTTGTTCCCGATCTTACCCCACTGCCGCAGGCTGAAGAACTGGATGTAGTCTTCCGGAGCGAATCCCGCAGCGCGCAGGCGTCCAAAGATAGAGTGCTCGCCGCGACAGATGCTGCGGAACTGGCACTGGAGGATCAAGCGGACGCTGGTACCGTCCTGCTCGTTGACCTCGTTCTGGAACCCGGGCATCAGCGGAATGACAATCACAGCCCGCCAGTCCTCGTCATTCTCGTGCGCGCGCATGGCACGCTCGACCAGGGCGTCGCCGATCCGGTTCACCATCTTGTTGTTCAGAGTCTCCGTGCTCGTGATGAAGAACTGGTTCTCGATGTAGACAAAGTGGTCCGACTCCTCGATCATCTTGATGTAGGCGGACTGAATGCTCGACTCCGTGTCGTCGATACCAAGCGACCACGTGCATGCCGACCGGAGGATCTGAACCTCGCACGTCCCCGTGAGACCCAGCGCGTCGAGATCCTCCTTCTTGTAGTCCGGCGGTGGCAGGAGGAAAGGGGTCGGACGTGTGGGCTTCCGTCCGCGGCGAACGTAATTCCACCGCTGGACGAAATGCCGCGTTAGATCACGGGCCGGTTGCCCGACGACCTGCATGGAGACATCATGCCAGGGCATCCGGGGTATCCTGCTCCTGTCGTACATCTCCTCGTACGGCTCGTTTAGTCGGAAGAAGTCTTGGACACGAGGGTTGGAGTAGTCTTTGCCAGGGAAGAGCTGGCAATGCTCGGCGTCCTTGGGATCTTCTGTGTTCTCGAAGCCCGTGGGCTTGTCGTCCCCTACCGGGTGTTGCGGGCAGTCCCAGCGCCCGAAGCACAGGTCGATGCCGCCCACGAAAGCGACATCGTGGTCGACAATGCAGATCTTCTCGTGGTGGGCGAAGAAGAACTGGTTCTTCTTCAGCTGGTTTGGGGATCGCTGGACGAAGATGTTGGGATGTAGGTTGAGTAGCGAGAACTTGGTGTACTCCGAGTCGATCGGGACGGCAGCCTCTACGTTTCTGTAGATGATAATAAAGATCTTGACACCTTCTTTTGCTTTCTTTTGTAGCAGACGGTCAAGACGCCACTTCTGGCTGATGCACGCCGGACGCCTCATGTATAGCTCAGGGCTGAGCCACCAGTCGTGGATGTAAATGACATCCCTGGCCATGTTGATGGCTCGGGACACATTCCACATGTAGTCTCGTCCGTCAACGAGCCACTGTGCATGCACTCCGGTCCTCACCGGCGCAAAGCTGCCGAAACGGTTCCTTATATGCCACGGCGTAGCCTTGAGCATCTCCGTTATGGACTCCTCAAACTGCCGGACGATGTGCTGGTTCCGCGAGAAGAGTGTGACCTTCCTCTCCGACGTGAGGATCTTGAGCGTGTGGTGTTTCTCGGGTAGCGGATTGGCAGTGAGGTCGATTTCTTCTTCCGCATTGCTGGACGTGATCTGTTTCAGTTTACTCTTCTTAGAAATAATCTTAAACTTCGGATCGACAAGGTAAACATCGTAGATGTTCATGTTCTCGGGCGATTCGACGCAGACGATGTAGCTCTGCCGCACCAGGAACCACTTGCGTGTGTGCCGGGCGAACACCCTCTGCGGCGTCAGCACACGCCTGAAGTCGAGGCCTTTGGACGATTGGATATGCAGGTAGCACTCTTTGCCGTGGTAGCTGCCCTCCGCGGCCAACCGTACGCCGAGCGCCGAGAGCTCGAGGAAGCGGCAGAGCCGGTTGCTGTCGGGCCTGAATATGAGCCAGTGTACCATCTCGGTGAGGTATTTCTCCAGCATCCGCTGTTGACGCTCGACATATCTCCTCCTCGCGGCGGCAGGGTCCAGTTGCGACAGGTCGGCATTCGATCCAGTCAGGTCAAGCAAGCCGGAGCTCTTTCTTCTACCTCCCAGCACATTCATGCGGGACCGCTTTTTCTTCGGCCGTGGACGACCTTCGCCCTCGGTAGCCGTGCCTTCTGCCGCTGTCATCTCGGCAGCCGTGGCCTCGCCGGCCGTATCATCAGCGCCAGGTGGCGGAGGTTCGTCCTCGTCGTCTTCCAGCCCACGAACACCACGAAGGTAGGGGAAAGCTGAGAGTGGAAAACTAGGTTGTTTCGGACGGTTGCTCCCAAGACTTGTGAGGTACTTCTCATTCTTCAGGGTGAGCTTGTACTTCCAGTGCATGTTCAGAATCTCCCTTATGGTTCGCTTGACAGTCCACGTCATCCTGCTCGGCCCACTGCCATACTCCAGGTCGATGGTGAAGAGCCAATGACGCTCGCTATCACCGCCTTGAACCGGCTCGCTGTCTCGGATCTTCAACTTGAGCTGCTCCAACAGGACAGGTATCCTCTTGTTTCCGTGCTCGTCGCGCTGGATCATACTGGCTAGCATCAGGACGGCTGGTGCTCCCGCGCGCAGCTCTGCCATCAGCTCCGCAGACTTCAGGTAGTCGATCTGCTCAGTCTTCTGCTTTCTCAGAGCCTTCAGCGTCCTTTTCACCTGCTGCCACTTCTGCGCGCCGTATGTGGACGCCCTCTCGCCAGTGAAAAACGGTCGCGAGATTCTCGGAGTCAAGGCGCCATTGTCGGATACGCCGCCATCTCCTACGCCCCGGCCACCGAAAGCCGATATCCTTCGGAAGTGGCCGAGCCTTGCTCGGGACGGACTCTCGCCGCCTTCCGGAGTATCCACGTGGTTGAGGGCCCAAGAACCCGTCCTGAACATCGAACGCTCCCTGTCGAACTGGTCACGGCCCTCTCCCTCCGAGAGCCCTGCGCGGTGATCGGAGGCGTCCGCAATGGTTGCTCGGCGGATGAAGTTCAACCGACTGTGTTGTATGGGCGTGTCGGGATCACCTCCATGTGAAGCAAACCTGGGCGTGGTCGGCGTAGAGAGAATGTCTCTGGGTCTCCGCATACGCCTTTTCTTCTTCGTCTTGACCGCGGCACCGTTCGCTCCAGCGCCAGGACCGGTGGGTCCTTCATCGGCTGTCTCCTCGGCATCCGCATCGACGTCGCTTCCCTCGTTCTGGTCCAAGTTCCTGAAGCCGGGTGCCCGCGTGCTCTGTCTTGTCACGGTCGGTGAGCTCGTTGTCGAACCAATGCCCAGGGCATCCGGTCCATGACTGCCGTGTGCTCCCGGCACGGCTAGCTCTTTCAGCTTGGCCATGAAGGCCGAGCTCCGTATCTTGCCAATTGCACCACTGGCATCCCAGCTGCTGTTGCGGACATGGCTATTGGTCTGGCTCAATGACGGCGGCGGAGGGAGGTCGTTGAGGACAGTGTCGTTCCGCGCGAACTGCACACTCCTGCGACCGATTATGGGAGTGGATATTTCGCCTGGCTCAGCGGTGAAACCGACAGAATCTGTTCCGTTTGTAGCTGAGTCTGTCACTAATATCGGAGCTGGAGCAAGCTTGGGGGTCGAGGCAGCGGAGGCAGGGTTTGTTATCGCAGCGCCATTGCCGAGCTCGAGGTTCTGGTTGTGCAGGGGTGCAACGTCCTCGTGCGGATGACCGCCGTTCAGATAGTCTTCTGCAGGAGGAGTCGGGCCATCGCCATCGATTGCTTCGTGCCTCTGCTTCGCTGGAGAGCTGGGACTGGAGCCGAAGTCAAAGGTGTCGGAGCCGGAGTAGGTTCGGCCAGCAAGGTCCTGTTTCCGCAACAGGCTCGAGGGCTCGACAAGCTTGCCGGACGACAGACGGCGTTCCTCCTCGACTGCCGCCAGTGGGGAGTCGGATCTGGCTATTTCGCTCATGATCGCGTGCTCGGAGGGTTGCAGGGTACTATGTCGAGGTATTCGGTAGGGTTGGTGAACGGGGACGAGCTGGACAGGGCAAGTCACCTCAATAACGATGCATTACAACGCGGTGGACGGCCAAGCAGCTCTCGAGTGAGCGAGTTTCTGTGTAAGAGGATACTGGTGGTAGCTGCGTCTCGCACCGAGGATCGAGATGTCTTCTAGAACCTCAGCAAGCGGAGAGTGATTGTTGAGTCGTTGAGCCGGCCGAGCAACAATGTCATGTGAAAGCTGGTTGACAGCTCCGTGTCGTCACCGGACAATGGCAGTTGTAGGGGCAGCCGCAATTGGTAGCTGAATGGACTTCCGACGCAGGTACGATAGCAAGGACTCTCGATGTGCGCGTGTCACGGCTTCTGGATACTCGGTTCCGTCAGTTCGGTTCGGACAGTTTGGAGCTGAGGGTGGGTTTGAGAGTCCGAGTCCGAAGAAGTCAATTCCACATTCCAAGGAGAGTTGTGATTGACAAGCATCATCATAAACCTGGAAGTTACAGGGGGCCAAGCCAGCTAGAGCCGGGATCGATATTAGGGGGTCCACAGCAGACCCGCGCCTAAAATGACGGTCCTGGGGTGGCAGCTCAAGCCACGAATGTCACGTCTGGTAGTGGGTTGGTGCGGCAGGCATTGTATGTACAAGTGTAAATGGTGCGCCACAGCGACAAATCAAGGAAGTATCAGTGAAAAGTAAGACCTCTTCCCTGCCTTGTTGTTCAGAAAACAGTGTACACGTAAGGATCAAGATTTACTAGCACGATCAAAAATGAGAAGTCTAGACAGAGACAGGCAAAAGTTTCGTTGCAGACAGTGGGATTCGAACCCACGAATCTCTCGATAATGGTGATAAGTGTTCTGCAAACTTAAGACCACCGCCTTAAACCACTCGGCCATATCTGCTTTTTAGTGAAACTTTATGAGGATAGAGCCGCACTATATAGTCACAACATCCCATGACGGGAATTGATTTCCCATGTCTATATGTCTAGGATGAACCCCTTTTGAGCTGCAGGATAGGCTCAATGTGCTAAATAGCTCATTTACTTGAATGCCTACTGTTGTTCAAGCTCTGCAGCAGCCACAATCTGGCACTAGGCGGTGATCATGAGCAGGGCTTCTACCAGTGAAACGAGTCCCCACGGCGACTTGAGAAGCACCTTTCACTTCTATACAGGGCCTCAACTAGAGTTAAAAGTGTAAATAGCCCGAGTGTTGTTCCAAGCTCTACTCTCAGTATTTACACCTCTGAGCCGAGTGATTGCTGTATTAGCCACTTCAACGTGACTGTCTTCAGCCCCCTCACAAGCCATCGTACCTCCCGCTGCCATCATTCCTTTGACCAGTTGGTCCTCACTTCGCCTTAGGAGTCGTGGCCTTGGGCGTCCTCGCCTTACTAGCCAACATCTGCGACAGCGTAAAATGCGCCACATCCTCGTCCTGCCAGTACGACATGTGCGACGCGATGACGTTCATCGGGTTGAAGTCGAGCACACTCCTGTTATCGCATTAGCATATCTTCAACCACCTCAAACACAAAAAGAAAAAGGAAAAGAATACTCACTCCTGGATAGTATAATCCACCCTCCCATTCCGATTCAGCGCCCGGACCTTCATCTCCTCCCTCCTCAGCTTCGCCGCCCTCTTCTCCTCCTCGACCCAGTTAACCTTTTCAACCTCCACCCTCCTCTCCCCCTCCTTCCCGTCGTCTCCCCCAGCCAAATCAGCCCTCTTCTTCTGAAACCTGCTAAAAAGCGTCTCAAGCTCATCATCAATAAGCGTAACCTCGTTCCCGCTCTCACTAACCCTCTCCCCCTTCCCACCGAGCCCCGTATTCCGCCTACTGAGTGCAAGCTCCCTCTTCCTCTCCGCCGCCTTCTCCGCCCTGGCCGCATCAGTCACCGCCTCGACGGGAGACACCACCCCGCCCCCCAAGATATTCGTCCCCGCGGCCGGGCTGGGCACATGGCCCGGCTGGAGCGCGCTCTGGTTGGCCTGCTGCGCCGCCGCGGCCTGCTGCCTCTCGAGCGCCGCGACGTCCTCCTGCGTCAGCCCCAGGGACCGGTTGAGCAGGCTGCTAGCTATGCCGGCGCTGAAGCTGCTCCACAGCCCGCTCACGCTCTGGCCCACCTTGGCCCCGATGCCCGTCAGCCCTTGCGGCGCCACGGTGCCGAAGATGCCCTTCTTGGTGTACGGCAGGGCCTGCGGCTTGAGGCTCGACATGGCCTTTGAGATGAGCGGCTCCAGCCGGTAGGCGATTGGGTCCGACGGGTGGAAGATGTTGTACAGCTGCTGGATTTTGGGCGAGGAGACGGCAAACGGCAGCCCGGTGATGGGTGATAGGCGGTGGTCGGTGCTGTGCGCGTGGTGCTGGGCCGGCGAGATGAAGAAGGGGTCGTCTGCGTCTGGGTTCAGGGGGCTTTCCGACGGTAGGGAGTTGGGCAGGTGGCGGGCTGCGATGTTGCGACCTTTGAGCATCTGGAATAGGCCGATTGGGGAGCCGAGGCAGTAGAAGTCTTCCACGTCGAAGTTGAAGGCCAGGTCCTTGGGATTGCTGGGTTCGTATCGGTCCTGGGAAGGCCAGAACCGGAGCGGGTTTCGGGCCGGCTCTTGGGAAGACTTCTCCTTCTGCCGGCAGAGGATGTCGAACATGATGGCCGAGCCCAGGGAGTGGCCCATGATGTGCACCTTGCCTTTGAAGTCGGGGTTGCGCTCCATGAAGAGCTGGTATATCCTGTTTGACTCCTTGAGCACGATCTCGCAGATCTGCTCGCGGTAGGCGCTCTGGTACAGGAGGATGTCAAGGGCGAGGTCAGACACCAGAGACCGGGCGAAGGCCATGCCTTCGATTGTGATGTCTTCCAGTGAGGGGTATTCGTCTTCGTCGTTGAAGGTGTCGCTAAGGTCATGTTCGCCCTTCTTCTCCCGCCGCTTGGGGAACTCGAGCAGATGCCGCCAGCATACGGGGAGGACTTGGACACGGCAGTTGCCAGGACCGCTCTCACCGATTTCCGAGTTGAGCGCCCGCAGGTCGTCGGAGCTGGAATATGTTGTCTTTAACGTCTTTCGGAGCATGTTCACGTCGTGGACGAAGTTGAGACTCTCCATCCTGAGGCTCAGGAGCTGGCCGATTCCGTGAGTGATTAGGATCAGATGTTCGATCTCGCGGCCCTGAGTCTCGCCAACCTGGGCGGTGTAGTCTTCTTCCATTTGCTCTTCCTGCCTTTTCCGAATGGCTTCCTCTTCCTCCTCGGAATTCCGAGCCTCAGCTCCTGGCATGAGGTTGGACAGCTGGCGGGTTAACAGATTCGTCTTGGGCTCGACCACCTCTTGTTCCTTCTCTTTCTCCTTCCTGAACTCATCTTCAGTAGTCTTCTCGGACCTAGCGGTGGGAGGAGCAGAACGCCTCTTAAGCAGCTTCTGCTGCTTCTCTTCTGCTTCGGTGAAGGTGGACTTGGTTCCGGTTGGCGTCGAGGGGCGTGGAACCTCCTTGGCCTTCTTTGGTTCCGTATAACCACGGACGACCTTGACGCCGCTCATGTATGCGCCTCCCGCAAACCTCTCGTAGACGGTTGATGTCACCCAAGACAGCACGCCGTCAGAGGACAGCCAAGCGGTATTTCCGTCCTGATACGTGGCTACGCTGTTCATGTAAGTGCCGAACAAGCGGTACGTCTGCGGCTGATGCTGTTGCGGTGCCGTAGCTGCCGCAGCCTTTGACGATCCCTGCCCGTCCGCCTGCGCCGACACGTCTGCTTTGAGGTTCTCGGAGGAAGGCTTGGGAGTCACGGTCTTCCGAGGGGGATACCTCCATGGCTTGATCTTGAGGTAGCCTTCCTCTAGCTGGGCAGCAAGATTTTCTTCGCACGGTCGCAGTGTTGAGCCCTCTTGGTAGAACCAGCTCCCGCGACGGACATCGTAGACAGGGCCCAGCCAGTACACGGGACCGAGCTCGCGTGTCTCGATCTCAACGTCAAACAGGAAGTCTTCATTGACTGGCACACGAGTGCTGCTCTTTGCCTGGCCCTCGTCACCGTCAAAATCTTCGAGACTTGTGTTTGGCGCATCCTCTGCCGACACCGCGCGTGGTCTCTTCGCGCCCGTCTTTACGCCGGTCTTGCTGGACGATGCTCGCCCATCTTCGATTTCTTCCAGCTTTTTCTGGTATGCGGCCTCGATAGACTTGGAGTCCTTCGGGGAGAATGCAACGAACTTCTTCGGTTGCGCCGGCGGTTTCTTGTCGTCCGGGTCGATGGTCTGCAGTCCCTTTCGGAACTTGGGCTTCCGCTTTGGTATCTGCGCGAGTCCTCGTCAGTAAGGGGCAAAGATATGATTCCGTCTATCGCTTCCAATAGGCAATGCTCACATCTACAGCATGGAACCACTGCACGTTCAACCTCGGACAGTCAGGCGGGTATCTCCGGAAGCTCTGCCCATACAAAGGATTGATGATGTGATCCCCCGGGTTGACTGGTGGCTGTTGACTCGGCTGAGGATCCTTCTGCGTCGGCGTAGAGCTCCGACTCCCTCCCCACGGGTTGATAGAGTCGACGGCGGAGGCCAAGTAGGACTTCTCGGCCTTCTTATCCCCTGGTGCGGGGCTCATGGTACCGGTTTGGCCGGACGGCCACCCAAACACGCATCCAGGGACGAAAAGTCGCTTGACGGCGCTGCGGGAGCGAAGCTGGCTTAGTGCACGTCTTCCAAAGCTCTGGAGGAGGGCCTTGTTGAGGAGCGCCAACGTGAATAGCTAGCCGTGGATTGGGGGGGAAATGGTTGAGCAGGTTGGGGGGAGAGTTGGCCAAAGGTCTAGGGCCGCAGTAATGACTCTCTATGGCTGCATGCTAGAGAGTCTAGGTAAGAGGCTGTGACAATAGGAGAGGGAGCGGTGTAGGGGCAGGTGTAGGAGCAGGTGTTCACAAAAGGAGAAGCTTTATATCGTTATCCGTTTGGCGGTTGAGTTTAACATGTGGTCGCGTCTTGGGAGCTTTCCACGAGCGCATGCATGTGAGACAGCTGTCCAACTGTCCACTATCCACTGTCCACTGCTCTCTCCAGGGCCACAGAAGCACCCACGTTCCATAATGACGTACCCACCTCACTCAGCGGTTCACTCAGCCCAAGCAAACCGATAAGATGCCCCACCCCCGCTATCGTTGCCGAACTGTGGCCACCACTGCCACCATTTGTACCGCTGCTATTGCAGTAATCAACGTGCTTTTAGTGAACCTTGCGTCTGGACCGTGGTGGGGTACGAGCTGGAGGGGACTTTTTTGACAAAAGAGACTTTGAACAAAATATTTCCAGCCTCGCCGTCGAGTCACAGATGCACGTAACATTTCTCCTGCCTCGATTCTTATGACGCCACACAACTTCTAAGATCACGACTGTCTCGACTCCCTTCAGAAAATAAAGTTCCTCTGCATGTCAGGATAACATCGAGGGGCGTGACACTTCGCGCGAGTGTCCGTCAATCTTGGACTGCATCTTCCGCAACTGCTTTGCGCCGCGACGCCCCACGGTTCCTACCAAAAGTTATAACCACCACCAGTCTGTTGTCTACTCAGCCACGGAGTAGTGTCGACAATGGCGACCTCGACAGAGACATTGACCGTTCCGGTCAAGCAGCAGGTGGTTGATCGCCTGCCCAAGCGCTTCGCCAGTCTGAAGTTTGGCATCCAGTAAGCTCCCTACCCTCCCTCCTTTTTCACTTGGTGGTTGGCGAGGCACCAGCAGTTGCTCACCTCCGGTTACTCAGGTCGAACCAGGATATCGTCAACCAGGCAGTGCTCGAGGTCTCGGACCGCATGCTCTACGACATCGAAAAGGGTAGGACTCCCTCACAACATGGACCTCTCGATCCGCGACTGGGAACCTCGAGCAAGACCGGCAAGTGCAGCACA